AAGAAGAAGAAGACGAAGAAGGCAGTGAGAATGATAATGAGAAGAAGAAGAAGAAGAAGAAAATTAGGTCGAACTTCACAATGGCCTACGGATTTCCGAAAAAAAAAGAAGAAGAGGTAGAGGAAGAAGAAAAAGAAGAAGAAATTTAGGGCAAACTTGACAGTCTGCGATTTTCCGAAATGAGAAGAGTAGTAGTAGTAGTACTAGAAGAAGAAGAAGAAGAAGAAGAAGAAAAAAAAAAAGAAAGAGAATTGGAAAATTAGGGCAAGAAGACTAGAAGAAGAAGAAGAAGAAGAAGAAGAAGAAGAAGAAGAGAAGAAGAAAATTAGGGCGAAGTTGAAGAAGAAGAAGAAGAACAGGATGGAAGAAGAAGAAAAAGAAAAAGAAGAAAAAGAAGAAGAAGCTCTTCTCTCTCAGCCAGCGGCTGCCAATGTCTATCACGCATACACTGACCAATGGAGGTGGCAGCCTTTCTTGAACATCGCAGAGAACAACCTCGGAGCTGCAGCCTTGTCTCCCCCACCATGGCCAAGTCTCCCTGCTACGACCAAGCTGCCCACACTCTTCTCACCCTGCCTGAGCAGTGCAGCTGCCCACACTCACGGCTGCCCACAAATGCCACGGCGGTAGAATGGGAAGAGTGTGGGCAAGCACACTCTTTGTACTGCCGCCGACCAGGGAAAAGGCAGTGTCGACGGTCGGCGGCCTCCCAGGCCGTGCCCCGATCGGCCGACCCCCCCAGTACCGGCCCAAAACACAAAAAATGGGCCTTTGGGGTGGGGGTGGCCGCCGCACAAAAATGCACGAGGCCGACACCGCCGATCGGTCGGCGCCGACGGCCAAAACGGTCGGCAGGTCGGCGGCCGACCGACCGAGGCCCACCGACGGTCGGCATGTGCAACCCTGCACTACGGGGAATTACAGTTATGGAAACAGACGTATTGAAAACTGCAAGCATGGAAACCGCAGCAGTAGAAACTGCAGCAGTGGAAACTGGAGCAATGGACACTGCAGCAGTAGACACCGCAACAGTGGACACTCAGTAGTAGAAACTGCAGCAGCAGAAACTGGAGCAGTCGAAACTGGAGYAGTAGAAATTGCACCAGTGGAAACTGTAGGAGTGGAAACTGCATTAATGGAAACTGGAGCAGTGGAAACTGCAGGAGTGGAAACTGCAGGAGTGGAGACTGCAGCAGTGGAAACTGCGGTAGCAGCAAACGAGCAAGCAGGGGCAGGACGAAAGCGTCATGAGGGCGAAGAAGAAATTGGATGATACAAGGACCATCGAAGCATGCATCGAAACCACTGAGAGAGACGCATCACATGCGTAGGATAGCAACGTTGGCGGGATCGCATGTAGCAGGTCCACCCCTTAGCACGGGTTGGTGGGGAATGCCCACGCGAAATATATATTTGCAAAATGCACTTGGAGTTATGATTTTTGCAGAACCAAGGTATGCAATGGCAGAATTGGAAGAAGGAGATATCTCAACGCTATTAAATGATTACGAAGAATTAAAGAGACTTTGCATCCAAATAAAAAAGGACAGAAACCCAAGTGTAATAGTATGGATAGGAACTTGCACAACCGAAATCATTAAAATGGATCTGGAAGGAATGGCACCTAAATTAGAAGTATATACATTGTCACATGAATATCAGAGCGCAAATGCGAAAAAAAAGAAAAACAGGAAAAAATGAATTCAGTTTTTTATCTTCTTCCTTATAACTCCCCCTGTTCAGAACCTCTTGCGTACAAGGCACATAGTCAAAAGGCAAAGAGGCAAAGAAGAGAGGAAGGGAACAGCCAAAAAACAGAATAGGGGGCAACAAAACAGATCCCATGTGACAAGTCCCACATGCAAGCACCACCCCTGCCCACAGGCCAAACGACGGGACAAGACCAACCAGGATGTCAAAACATTCTTGTCTACAAAAAAATCAAAAGAAGTACCAAAAAGAACCCATCCCGGATGCCGATTCCCACATACAAGCACTGCCCCGCGCTCAAATATTTTGTGTGGGCATTTCCCACCAACCCATGCTAAGGGGTGGACCTGCTACATGTGCTCCCGCCAACGTCGCTATCCTACGCATGTGATGCGTCTCTCTCAGTGGTTCCGACGCATGCTGCAATGGTCCTATATATATATTGTCACACTGTGAATCAGAGCGCAAAAAAGGGGAAAGAAAAAGGAAAAGGAAAAAAGGGGGAGGGGGAAGAGGTAAGGAAAGCTCCACCTGTTCATAACCTCTTAC